AAATATCTGAAATCACTCCTTAACGTTGAAGTGGAAGTACAAAATAACTATTCGATTTATATTCGTCTCTTACGAGCATGTTGTTCATTGAATTTCGGTTTCTATGGTACCGGTTCCAGCAGTTTTGAAAATCTCTTCAAGGTAGTTCGCAGTTAGTTACCACATCTCTCGTGATTTTAGCGCAATGAAATAAGTAACCACTACAAAATAGTCCGTGAAATTGTTTGCTATTCATTAAAGTAATTATTATAAGGACCTTTTATCGTATCTCCCTTGCAAACCTGCGAAAATTGTTAGATGGTTTCAGTGATTACGCTATTTATGATTTAGTTTGTGCATGTTTGGGTGTAGAATAGTTCAAAACCTTGGATTTTGGTTCAATAATTCGTGCTCTTTTGTTTGTCTTGGTCTTACACATTGTTCTCCACAATATACGTCATTGCATCTAGTCAGTGATTATATCTAGAAGTGGTGAGACCATAATTTATGGACATTTGAGCGACGCTAAAGTGACCTTGAGAATGTCTGCCTGCTTACTGGAGGTGAATGAGGTGTATAAAGAATAGGGATTATAATTTACAGTTGATGGTAAGGGTTAGGGTTTAGATTTATGGTTTTCATCACGAACTGACATCATCCAAAATGCCAAAACACTATTTAGACAAATAAGTGAGTGAATTTCGCGCCCAAATCCAGGACCTGTTATCCTAAATCTGATTGGTTCGTCCATAAACTATAGTCTCGCTCAAAATTTCCATAAATATTTGGTTGGATGAACACCATCATTTGTTGCTTGTTGAACGATGAATCATACGATATTTTTGATTTAAGGACAGGAAACAAAATGACTTAACTGGAGTTTTATGACATCTATTTTTGCACGTCTACTCACTTTTGGATGCGCTTACTGCCTAAAATCAAGCCAGGCGAACAACAATGGTGAAATCGAGGCGGGTATTCTTTGAGGAAATTTGACGGAATTCTTGGCGGAAATGCATCAGAATGTTGCCTCTTTCGTCTGCCACAGGGAGATTGCGAATTTTTTCTTAAATCTCTCTCTTGGTAAGCCTTGTTTCAAAATTTTGATCTCAACAAAAATAGCCCACTTTTGTCCTAAGTATCCGTGTTCGCTATTACTTTCACACGAAGGTTAACTTCCAAGCAGTTCAACTAATTTAGGAGGTTGATTTGTGTGTAATAAGTCACTTAATTTCGAAAATTTAAACCACGACCTACAAAAATATTGGCAGTGATCGATTGAATTATAAAATGGAATAAGAATTATTAGTTATTCCTGGGTTCCCCTTAAATTATTTACCGATAATACGTACAAACATTGGATGAGACTTACTTTTGTGTTTGGTAAAACAAATCGCTACTGTTAGAAAATCCTGATAGCAGTCAGATTCGCAGGTTGTTACGTACATGTCCTTTCCTTCTGGAATAACGGCTATTCAACTTTTCTCTCACGTCATTAAAGAATCTTTGCAAGATCTTCAGAGAGAACGGATGATTGAAATTCCAAATCTACTGAGCTTAATGAATAAAGACCATCAAATACAATTTCACTCTCCAAACCTTAGCAAACTCTACGCTTGTGAATATTTCTTTCGATGATATCCCCAGAGAGTGTAAACCTGACACCCAGTTATGGCTGTATAACACGCTGGAACAAATAAAGTGAGTGTTTCCGAACTGTCAATCGCCAGTTTGGTGGCTTTTGCCATCTAAAGTGAAAATAAATTACTAAACAAATCCGTGGCCCTAGGGGTTTTTCTCTGATGTTTTCACCTTAAAGACATGTATCCAGTTTACGGTAACATGTCGGATTCGAGCTTCCTTGATATGCCATCATTGTCTCACATACATTAGTAATATTTAAGCAAGACCGTTTTAGCTAGTAATTACAGTTTCATAACGATAGAGTGAAGTTCTAACGATGACACTGTTAAACTATTACAGAAAGTTTCTGACCTATTTACGTTCTGGCGGCCAGGTAGTACTATCAGCCCTCACATTTACAGTGTGGCTCATACCTAAGTGCCTGGCGAATGAGTTGACATTATATTATATCAGCCGATTTGTTCAAAAACATACATTGCTAAATCTTCATCAATTAGACCCACAAGTTGATGCTTCATGGTCAAGGAGTCACAAATTTTAGAGAAGATACGTCATACTTTCAAGCAAGATAGATTTAATGTGACGTCCTAACATGCTAATAAGTACACCGCTACAATGCTGCTAATGGGTGTTAATCGCACAGAGGGTCTCATAATGTTTAAATAATATTGCTCCTGTTCTAGATAGCAGAGAAGGAGAGAACTGAGGAAAACATTAAAGTGGAAAAATGGACTAAAAGACATGAGAAAGTAGGGCGACAATGTCACACGTGGTGAAATATTAGGCTTCAAAAAGAAATATGTAAAGTAACAGCTAACCTAAGCCACTACGACATGAAGTATTAACTAATTTATCTGATCGTTATTCTCACTTATATAGTAAGAAACATGTACAATAAGAAACTCCAGTTCTAACGAATGTATTTTTAGTAGAAGAACGGGATCCTGAGCTAATTAACATGTGTGCGTTTTGTGTTTCGTCAGGTTCTTGTTACCTGTTTACAATCTGTGGTATTTAAAAGTCAGAATTACAAGGTGGATTAGAAGCACTTAGACAAATGAATTTCATTGAGAGGTGTTGTGGACATATACCAGCATAGTACAGCAGAGATGTAGTTGAATTAACAGAATAAATAAAAATATTGCGAATGTATATCATTTCCAGTTAGAAACTCTAAAATATTGATAGTGATAATAAATTAAGGGGTTAACAATAAGCAACTACATAATAAGAAGATGCTAATAATTCAGAAAGAAATGGGTAAATCTCAGTTAAAACTAAAACTACTGAGTTAGAAGAGATTCGAAAAAATGAATTGATAGCATAATTGATTGTAATACAATTAAGAAGGATTTTAAGACGCTAGGAACTAGTTTATGTTAATAGGGCTAGAAAAATTTAACTACTATCTGCTTTTAAACATATAATTCAGGTTTTCCAGCTCGATATCATTAAAGTCTTTTTACTACATTTTATTGTATCTTATTATTTCGATGGCGAAATCATGTTGAAGTTCATTAAATAATACTGTCCTTCAAACTACCGTGTCTCAAACAATACCTACATTCTCTAGTGAAGACGGAGTACGATTTGATGCGTAGTGAAACTGCAGTCAGAATATTTACTTTGTTTTGGGTCTCAACATTTTGTTCAATGGCTGTTACAATGGTGCGATATATGCAGAAGAACGCGTTTGATAAGGCTTGCCTCCAAACTAACTAGAAGCAACTGTGTTTGCTACAAATTCAGACCTTTGACTCGTTTGGTAGTTTTCTCATGTTTGATTCCCGTCTAGTTAATCCCCTTTTCTTTGCGATTATGAGTTGTAGTAGCTTGAATTGGCAAACGCTAATGCTAGGTTCTGGAGTTACTGCCTCACCATGACCCTGGTCCGTGTGATTATCGTCTCCAATGGTTAGACTTTGAATGTAGTAGCGAAGTCGTTTAAAATAGCCCAGATACACCCAATCTTTATCTTGCGTTAGATCCTAGATTTATGGATTCCTCACAAATTCTGTTTCGTTATTTCACTAATTTATCTTAGATGACTAGTCTTTCCTATTGCCGTTAATAGTTTTAGTTTGAATTGTTTTTTCTGACTAGCGTTTTTTTGCGAGTTAGTTGTCTACGGGATGGGGTCGCTAACCCCATGCCCAACCCCCCTCCATCCGGGTTTGGGATCTGCAGTAACCCCAAAAGGGGCTTCAGGCGAAAATTTTTAATACTGTTACCACATCTAATGCTCTGGGATTTGCTCTGACGATTTTCACCTCTCTGTGCTAACGAGATATGGAAACTTGGAGCGATATGCATACGTGCCAGGTTCTACGTTACGTCTGTTTGACTGACTGAGCTAAAGAAAAACATGGGTTAGCAGATTAAGACAAACTCAACACAGATGACAGGTCGTGAATTTTTTCACAGTCTCCATCACGGCTAATAATCAAATAAAATGAAGTATTAACACAGTCACATTGACAGCTTGAGATACCGTAACTTAAAAAGAAACGTCCCAATCAACAACGAAGAATATCGTGTGAGATCACTTATCTTCTATGAGACGTAATCTCCAGGCCTGGACCTTTTACCTGTATCACTGTTGAATGCAATACCAAGTGCTATCTTTTCGAATTCTTTGTGGAAAATAGGTCTCTTGAATCGAACGAACAGCTTTAGATGATTATATCAATCGACGTAAAACAAGCATTTTTAATTCGTCGCTTTAACCGCTTATTGTTGAACCCCATGGACTTCACTGCTGCTTTGAATGTTTTAAATGTATATCCACAAACCGATATTTTATTACCCTTTCACAAATAGAAGGAAATCTCCTTACATCTAAAGTCACCACAGAAGCTTATAACTAACGATATTATTTGATCAACGAGTGAAACCTTAAAGTCACTAGTGTCTTTTAAAAGGTCCACTTACTTTTCATAAAATGGGTATTCACTAATAATAAGTTTGAATAAGATCACTAGGTAAAATTTACATGAAATCTCTCTGTCAACGTATAAAATCTATCAAAGTGATCAGGAGAATAGACATCAGGCCTTGCAATATTCAGCTCGTTGGTCGAATAGTCTAATGACTGGCTAAACATATTTCTGGGTGGTACATTAGTTACAATACTTCTGGTCTGATTGATGTATGGAGCAGCCAAATCCATTCAACTTGGACAAATATCTTAAACGAAGTACCAAGTGCTTTTTGCATTTTATTCCTTCGAAAAGACATATTTATTTGGCTACATCCTGTTTTGGTGTGTTTTTTTAGTACTAGACAAGTTGTGCTCTCTCTTGTATTTTAAGACCTCAAGACCGTAGATGATTTTAAATATCATTTTAGGCCTTGAAATTATACAACTCGTTTCAGAAATGTCCAGGGAAAATTCTCCATATATTCATATTGAAAGAACACTCTTAATTATTAAGCCGGACATTATTAATTATGCAGATAAAATAGAAGAGCTTATCTTACAAAAAGGATTCTTGATAATACAGGTAAATATCGATTCCCCAGAATGTATAACCAAAATTGATGCATTTGATAGAAGAGACGCGTTCATTTGACACCAGAACAAGCAAGCGAATTTTATGCAGAACATTACGGGAAAATATTTTATGCAACATTAATTGCCTACATTAGCAGTGGTTCGATAGAAGTACTAGTCATAGCTAGAGAAAATGCTATATCTATTCTTCATGAATTAATTGGTCCACAAAATGCATTTAAAGCTAAGGCGACGGCACCTGCAAGGTTAACTTACTAACATGAAACTTGAACATTCTTATTGAATATTTCTTGTGTAGTTTAAGAGCTATTTATGGTACAGATGATCAACAGAATGGAATACATGGAAGCGATTCGTTTACAAGTGCTGAAAGAGAAATCAGATTCTTCTTCCCAGATAGTAAGTAGCTTGAATGAAGTTTTGTGTTTCTTTCTCACAAATCTCACCAAACTTGCCATGCTACTAATAATCATATTCTTACTGAAACTAACTTTGGGGCGATTTTTCAGAGATCCAGTGAGAATCTATGACCTATGGAATTGAACCATGTCGACTATGAGATAAGCACCATTGATTACAGTGGATGATAGTCATTCAATATTGGAGAGTGACTTGAGTTGAAAGCATGAACCCCTCGATGGCAGTTCAGTAATTTGAAGTTCGAGCCCTGCTAGGATTGTTTAGGAAAGCTGACGAGGAGTCTTATATTAGAACAAAACGCCGCTCTAGTGCTTCCTGATTTTTAACAGCTTCCCAGCTAAATCTAGTACCTGATATAAAATATAAACTATTTTTTACTGTATGCTTATGATAGTGGAAACTATGATTATGTGGCGCCAAAGAATCACTCAGAAACCAACTTTAGTTCGTCATTTTGCCTTAAAATTGACGTAAGCCTATTAGCTTTTTGTTTACATTTCAACATGTGTTTGTTTCACCCACTTTGACAGTAAGAGAAATGGTTAAGAAAGCATTTGTAAGATAAAGCTTAGTTTAAGATAAAAATGCTAAGATAAATCAAATTAGCTTTAATACAGTCAGTCAGTTAGTCAGCTACAACGTAGGATCAGGCACATATGTGCATCGGTCCAGGTTGCCATACCGCATCAGCACAACAAGATGAACACCGGATTCATAGCAGTGGCTAGGTCAAAGGTGGCAATATATAAGAGGAAGATTGCATATAGAGATATAGTAATAGAAGAAAGAATTGGTTCGTAGAAAGAAAGATATGAAGTGATTTTAATCTCTTAGTTTAAGGGAAGACAGAGAGTGTATACACCGACGCCATTTTGATAGGCTCTGAGCCATGTCACCAAGAGTCTCCAACCATTGGTTACGATAGTCACGCGGACCCCAACCAAGTAGTCTGCATCTACCAACATGGCTCAGACTAGAAGTTAGTGTCTTCAAGCACTGATGCCACGTTTTGGTTTGGCCACCCCTAACTTTCTTACAACTATCTCCAATACCTGATAGCATTGCACGTCGTGGTAATCGGTGTTCGGGCTTACGTATCACGTGGCCCAACCATCTCAGTCGATGAAGATTCACAACCTCATCGACTGATTTAACATCATTCCCTAATACCTTGCGTCTAACCTCACTATTACTTATCCGGTGATCCCAGCAGATGCCAGCAATATTTCTAAGGCATCTGTGGTCAAAAACTAGTAGCTTACGAGTGTCTTCTACTCTTAAAGGCCATGTTTCGCTGCCGTAAAGTAAAACAGAACGGACTGCCGCGCAGTATACTCGTCCTTTTATTGATAGATGGATATCTCGCCTTCGCCAAAGGTGACAAAGTTGGCAAAAGCCAAGCGAGCTTTCTGAATCCGTGATGAGACTTCGTCAGACAACAACCCATTAGAACCAATCAGACTTCCAAGAAAAGTGAAGTTGTCGACGCGTTCGACTACTTCACTCCCTATCATCAGTTCAGGTGTTGACGCAGACCAGTCCTGAAGCAACAACTTGCATTTAGAGGGCGAGAAGTGCATTCCAAACATTCCGGCATTGTTGCTTAGTGCTACCAAAAGACTCTGCATTTTATCGGCGTCTTCACCAATTAGGACTATGTCATCTTCGTATTCTAAGTCGATAAGTGGACCTCCTGGAAGGAGATCAATACCCGAGAATTCAGTCGACGAGAATGTTATTTCCATCAGTAGGTCTATGATGAAGTTAAACAGAAATGGAGAAAGTGGACAGCCTTGACGGGCACCACTTGAGGTTGCAAAAGTAGATGACAGTTCACCGTAATCTCTGACTCGACTGGTAGTGTTCGAGTAAAGAGCCTTCATAAGGTTTATGTACTTCTGAGGTACGCCTTTCAATGACAGACACTGCCACAGAATCTCTCGGTCAACAGAGTCAAATGCTGCTTATAAATCAAGAACAACTATCATTGTCGGACGCCGATAAGTATGCCTGTGTTCTAGAACCTGACGAATGGTGAATATGTGGTCGATGCAGCCACGACCAGGTCTGAAGCCAGCTTGATTCTCTCGTGTTTGCAGTTCACGAGTCTTAGTTAGGCGTCTGATAATTATCGAGGCTAGTATTTTAGATACTATATTAGTTAAACTAATCCCTCTGTGGTTGTCGCAGGATGATTTTAACCCTCTCTTATATATTGGGATGATAAGTGATTGCGACCAGCCAGATGGAATAACGTCTAACTCCCATATTTTAGCTAAAATACTAGTCAACCTAATCACTAAAATTGGACCACCATCCTTGAAGACCTCTGGAGCAAATCCATCTAGACCAGCTGCCCTTCCTCGTATCAGATTATCTATAGCCTTTCGAACTTCCACTAGAGTTGAAGGACCTACTTCAATGTTCCATTCACACTGTCTGGAAATGGAGGGCAGTTGTAGAGTAGCTGAAGGCCAGCTGAACTGTTCTCTGATGAGTTTCATCTTTTTCCGAAATAGTCTGACTTACACTTGACTTAATAATTCCAGTTTCTTTTATTAGTCTGTAGAGCTGTCTTGTGTTCCCTATAGTCGTCGCCTTTTCCATCTCTTTTGCTTTCGTTGCCCACCACTGCTCACGGTCTTTTCTTAGACTTTTTCTTAACCTAGATCTGATTTGTTGTCGCTCTTCATCATGTTCGGAACCTGATGGGACGAGTTTGCGAGAATCCATCAGTGTGACAGACCTTGAAGAAATCCACTAGTTCGTTGTAACTCTGTGGTTTAAGTCACTAATAGATTTCATTGCTGTTTCCACAGCTGTTTGTATAACTTTCCAAGCAACATCTGGGTCAGCCTCGTTTGCAGAACTACCTAAGTGTGACCTCAGTTGTTCCTGGAACCTACTTTTGGTTTTCTCGTTACTCAACTCAGTTCTAATGGGTCTTTTTAATTTGGCTTTTTTGCGTCCAGTGAGGCGCAAGTAGATGCGTGCCCGTATTAGGGCGTGGTCGGAGTTCAAGCAGGTACTCCAGAATGAGCGACAATCTTCTACCGACCCTCTCCAACGATGACTGATGGCAATATGGTCTATTTGAGTCCATCGTTGGTTTGGTGTAGGGGGTCGCCATGTTAGACGATGTCTCTCCTTATGCTTAAAATTTGTGTTTGCTAAAAATAAACGATTGTCTCAGCACAGTTGCAGCAGGCGATCATCATTATCTAATCGTTGTGCCGGAATACTAAAATACCCACTTAAATGCCTTTCTGTTTGGTTTAAACTACTTATCTGGGCATTAAAGTCACCTGCCACGAGTACTATGTCTGAACGTTTAGCTTTCTGAAGAAGTTCAGAGAGCTTTCCGTAAAATTCATCTTTCACTTCATCTGAGCTGCAGTCGGTGGGAGCGTAAAATCCTGACGTGGAACCCAAATATTGTTGTAAAAATTCATTTTCCCTTCTAGCATATGCACATCAATAAACCCATTTGAAGTTGATAGAATCCATAAAGCTGTCTACGAAATCCAATACTAAGCGTCAAGCCTACCTTTGGTAGCTCACGTCAGTACTTCTCAGATAACCAAGTCACCCAAATAAGTAATACAGCCAAGATATCTAAAGATTTCACCCCCCTCCATTTTTGGACTAGATTTCAGTGCGAAACCATCATCTTGTTGTTAGCTTGTATGAACATACGGAATCTAATCAACCTAAAATATGGAGACAGAATGCTTTGCGAAGGGTACTTTCAAGAATACAGCAGGTAGATTGACTAATCAAAATAACACAAACTTAAAATATATGTTTAAACAGAGTTGTCATGTTTTTAAAATTGTGTGGTTATTTTTTTCGCACAATGTAATGTTCTTATTATTAAAATTACTCATTCATTTAGTGATCGTTGCACCGATCCCCGTAAGACTTGCAGCAAAAGATTACTTAGTTCGGAATGTAAACCCAACTTTACTAAAAGGTTTGACAGAACTGTGCAAACAAAAACCTAAGGATCCAGTAGTAAGTTGATATTTCTTTTCGTATGGGCTTATTGATTTTTCCGAAGGTATTTTCGAGCTCACGTGATAGCATGTAATAAATACAGGATCATAAAGTTCTCATGGTTTTAAATGAACCTGGACTGTTTTTGTTAGAAGCTTTAATTTCTTGCCGTTGATTTGCTAGACTGAGTTAATTAATCACTGAAACATTTTTTAATATCGGAATTTATTGATTCATAAGTTTGCTTTTATTCTAGTATAGACTTAATAAACACTAGAATGAAGTATGTACCTAGTTAATGGATTCCAAATACTGTAGAATTTAAATTCTTAGTTCCAACAATGGCCACAATTAAAATAAAAGTTTGGATAAAATAATGGTAGTACTCGGAGTGGTAAAACTGAATGTGGAAAGTAAAGCAAACCGGGACTGACACAATTATATTGGATATGATACTCTCATTTTGTAGGTAATAGACGATTTCGCGTTCAGAACTACGACAGCGTAAAAAAACAACAGATGACGTAATGCTTTTTTTGTTTAGATATTCGGCATTCAGTAATATCACATTGTTCTTTGACATTAATGTAATCAACGAGGCCGTTAAGTCGCCAAAAACAATTCACGGATAAGATTATCTTACTGTTGTTAAGTTTTATATGAATATTCAACTTCAATGATCTTTTAGGTGCTCAGTTAAATGGTAAGTTAATGGGCCACTGGGATGCCATACTTTGTTTAGACGCATGGTGAGGTCCTTTATCTGTGCATTGATGTTTCAGTGTAATTAGATTTCGACAAATTGGGTGACCTTTTACTTGCAAAATGATTTTATGCTTGTGAATAGCTCAATGACATGTACCTGATTCATTTATAAGAGAATAAAATAAAAATACAGCTCTCCTCAAAACTCAATAATTTCACGTGGAATTTCAGTAAAATATTTCCGTCTACCTACAATTTCGTAAGTTAAAATATCCCAATGATAAGGACATATTAGATTGCTCCAAACATTGTTCAACTGGGTTCCTTTCACCAGCTTCCCGATTACCATATAACCGTGGTCGGTTCCCTATACTATTTTGATCATGTTGTTCAAATAAATTAAATTCCAGTTATCAGTTGAGATTGATTTTAACGCTGTTAAGCCACTGAAGATAGATGTTCATTTCATAAAAATTGAGTATTATTACTTAACGTCTCCTTAATCTTCATGTACATAAGAGACTTGAAACTTTAAACATTTGACATTGAATGGTTTTTATTGATAAAAAAATGCTTGTGTTTGATTATCTGCTTGCCTAGCTTTGGCTGGCCGACTGGCTGCTGGAAAATAATCCAAATAAACCTCATCCCATCGATATGGTCACCTCTTGAAACACTAATAAGAAAATTTTAAAGAACGTATGAAGGATTATGAGAGTGCAGAGTTTTCATAAGAACCTATAGTCATATCTGAAAATAAACATATACTTCGTTTTGTTAAATTTCTTCATAGTAATGGATGTGAAGTGGCAGTGGGTTGCAGTCTAGCGTGACGAGTTCCGTGTTACCTGTAATGTATTTACGAACTGACCACTGAGTGAAAGCACATCAATGGTGCTTAATTTATATAGGAGTACCAGTACTTGAATACTTTGTAATCATGAAGTAAATAGGTTGCCAAAACACTATAACTTGCTAGAATGTTCGGAAGTGTACATCTATGGATATAGTTAAACCACTCATTAGCATTTCGAAATTTTACCTTAAATCGACTTTAATTTAGCCGAAGAATTCAGTGGCATTTGCAGTTTTACTATCAACTAGTTCAACGGATATACTTGGAGTTATGAGACACTATTTCATACTCTTTTTAAAAAATAGTTTAAGAGGGGATTCGCCCTCTTGTCCATATAATCAAACTTTTATTACTAATTACAATCATATATTCGTATGAAACCATTACTAAACATACCTTACCATGCGACTGAGAAACGTCCTATAGAATTCCTGGGACCACTTCACTAAAGACGTTGCAAAACAATGCGAAAGATAATTGTTAGGATGCCAGTAAGATGGAGAATTAGAAAGTTGATGAGGAATTTATGGTATCACTTGATGTGTCAGCATTACTCACGAATGTGCCCTTAGTAGGAACAGGAGATTATACATCCGTAGGATAACTGATAGTACTGAATATATTGTATGATACAGATATATATACGGATATATCTAAAACGTACGAACAAACTAGTGATCGTAGATAGAAGATTGTGAACGCAAATAAAGGCAATATATTAGAATTACAATAAAGTGCACAATTTCACAGATTGAAATCATGAGTCAGTTGAAGCTAGACCACCATTGAAAACCTGGAAGCACTGGACGGCCGTTTCGTCCTAGTATGGGACTCCTCTGCAGTGCGCATCCGCGATCCCGCACCACGCGGGGCTCGAACACAGGACCTACTGGCTTCGCGCGCGAGCACTTAACCACTAGACCACTGAGCCGGCATCCAACGGTGTTAATGTCTAACTTCAACCAATCCACGAAGTTGCGCCACCGTACACCATTGTCTAGGACGAAACGGCCGTCCAGTGCTTCCAGGCTTTCAATGGTGGTCTAGCTTCAACTGACTCATGATTACAATCTGTGAAATTTCTAGAAATCTCCACAAAACCCATTTTGATAATAATCAACTGCTCACTAGTGACTGACTTCAGAAAAAGCTCCCGAAGTTCTAGTGAGAAGCCGTTACCAGTGGAGTTCAACCAGGTCTGTTGTGACATAGGAACTCACTGAAGACAATGGTGTACGGTGGCGCAACTTCGTGGATTGGTTGAAGTTAGACATTAACACCGTTGGATGCCGGCTCAGTGGTCTAGTGGTTAAGTGCTCGCGCGCGAAGCCAGTAGGTCCTGGGTTCGAGCCTCGCGTGGTGCGGGATCGCGGATGCGCACTGCAGAGGAGTCCCATACTAGGACGAAACGGCCGTCCAGTGCTTCCAGGTTTTCAATGGTGGTCTAGCTTCAACTGACTCATGATTTCAATCTGTGAAATTTCTAAAAATCTCCACAAAACCCATTCTGATAAAGTGCACAATTATGAACAAATCAGTTATCCTTTTATATATAAAAAAATCACATTTACAATAGCTTAAGTAGAATTCTAAACTATTGTACTTCACTTAACAAGGGGTTCGAATGTTTATTGAATATGTACCATACTTCGTATTGGGTGAGGCTACTGCGTTATCTGGGATAGATTATTTTTATTATAAGTAAATGGGATTGGAACGAAATTAGCTGGATCCTCAAAACTCATTTGATTAGTGTGGCTGTTATGTACATTTGGACAATCCATATTCACTGTGCGAGTGATGAATTTGGCAATATTCTTTAGTAAACGTCTCAAGGATAGTTGAAAAGTATTTCTTTGATAGCAACCTGTAAGCACTCCATGTTCGAACAAACATATCTTTCATCAAGCAACTTTGCCGGTTTCATCAGTACGAGAAGGCATAACACACATTTATGAGCTGGAAAAGATCATTCATTCGCCTTTTCAGTTCGTTGAGCTTTGTTGCACGAATAGAACCGGTTGAAGTTTTCAGGGATTAGACGAAATTTTTTATTTAAACATAAAAATAGAGATATCTCGAAGTGAACAAATCTTTGCACTTCCACTAATCAAGTTTCTGGGTAACTTATCTGAAATGTTTTCAGCCAATAAAGTTGCACTTTAAGTATTCTTAAAATACAAGTACAGATTCGTACTATAGGTTGTTGCAGAGTTAGTCGGATTTCAGCGATCTCAACAGGAACTAGTCTTAGGCGACCAATAAATACCAGAAAGTGATCAACATATATAGACCATAGTCACTGACTGAAATTTCACAAGTCATAAGTGAATAATTATCATGTTGATCTAAGAAATACAACCACGGCAGATAGGAAGTTTACGTCCCGCAATACTTGACATAGAAACCTAATTATGTTCTATCAAAAGATTTGAACCTATTAAATCATTTCACCGAAATAGTGGATTCGATACTACCAATATCGAAGAAAAAATAAACGCACATCATTATTTTTGAATGTGAAACGAATTACTTGGTCGTAAATAAAAAACGATGTATTTATTCTTTGTTAATATCAGGATTAATAGTCAAATCTAAATAAAGAGGTTTATTATAACAGGTAGCGAAATGAGTACTGATGCGATAAATAAATCCATCTTGCCAAATTCGAAGAGTTTGGCATTACCAGATGGGTATGATTTCAGCGAGTCTACATTATAATAATTTGTCATCATAGGTGATAAAGTTGAAGATGTAAACCGCGTGTTAAAAGAACTTAATACAAGTCAAAAGCACATTTCTCTTACATGTGAAGAAGAGAAGAACAACCAACTTCCTTTTCTAGACATACTGATGAGTAGGAGATGACGGTTCCATCCAACGTTCTACATATAAAAAGCCAATATCTTAGTTTCCATAGTCACTACCTAATTCATTACGAACGTGGATTAATAAAGGACTTATTCAATAGAATCTATCGTATTTGTACTAGCGATACTACTGGAGTAGAGACGAAGCTCTTGACTGATACGTTGATGAATAATGGTTATTCATTGAAGTTCATAAACCGGTGGAAGGGTTGCAATACGATTAGATGTATGACGCCTCTGGCACCCAAAAAGCTAGTTTACATTATGTTACCATTTAGAGGCGACACAAATAGTCTCATGTTGAAACGGAGACTTAATTTAGCCATCAACCGAACATTTTATGCAGCCCAACCTGTCATTATTGAAAAGACAAGGTCTGTCTCACCAAAAGTCCAAACAACACGTAAGCGATTGTGTCACATCCTATTGTGTCTATCAATTTACACGTATGTGCGGAAACGCGTACATAGGGAGGAGCAATCGTGATTTGCAATTAAGGGTGGGTGAACACATACCAAAATGGCTACAGAGACAAATGAATTCCAATGGTCAAATAAGATCACCGGATAGACAGATATCATCCTCCATTGCGAAACATTTGATTGAGACCGGTCATAATTTTGACATCAAATCAGCATTTGTAGTGTTATACAAAAGCCTTAGAGGACATAAACTAAGGTTTAGTGAAGCCTCGGCTATACGTAAACTGAAACCCTCTTGCGTTCAAAAACAATTTGTCCTTAACCTTAACTCACTCTGGTAATACTGACTTATTATCCAGAGTGGTAATCACATTGATTTTGTGTAATTTATTATTTTTTTATTTTGTTACGGTTTACCTTTAATCTGTCTAGCTGACCTTTCAATTTTCATATAAAAATGTCTTAACAAGTATATGTGTAATCAGATTGTTCAAAATGTATTGCGCAAATATATCACATAATTCTGATAAACTTCGTCTTCTCATTGCATTATCGTAGTTGACGTAGTTATTCTAGAGCATCTGATCCATGTTAGGAGAATAGGAGTAATTAGGAACCATTGAATTCTTGGTGTATTTCATCATAACTTATAATTTTATTCACTTTATTGCCTTTGTATTTTATTCTAGGAAATGTGAAAAACAAACGGATTCACCCTATTTTAAACTTAGTCAGTTAGTCGACCAAAACCGTAAGCTTAATGTATGTGTTTAAATAACGACTTAAATAATAATATCAACGAGAATGCAAATAATGTTTGTGATTGTAGAAAAAAAGGTTTCAAGTAGCTACTAGCAAATCTGCCTAGGTAGATAAGTGACATCTGGTGCTGTCAAAAATGAAAGTATACTTCAGTATCCAATTCATACTAACTTTACTTATTTATTTGAACACAAATATTGATACAAAAGGGCACCGAATACATATGAACCACACAAGTCACCTGATTCGTGTATAGGCTGTGATACTGCCCGGGTGCCCAGATCGAAGCAGATGATTTTCTTGGGGAGCAACACCCGGAGCCTTTGACCTAGAGGTTCAATCCACAAGGTAGTGGAGCAACGTTAGGAAACACGACCCCATGATAGCTGGTGACCAACAATAGCTACGTACGCTATTCGTTCTTTTAGGACTCTGGAATCCATGTGCGCCATTGGTTTGAAATCACGGTTTTCCAACTCCCCTAGGTGAACGTTCTATGTTCATCGACCCGGTTAAAGCACCGGAAATTCGTTTCTCGTCCTCTCAATTTCGTAAACACCGCCGCCACGAGAAAGCAGTGAGTAGGACTTCATTGGAAGTGGCTGCATATGCGTGGCTATGTGAGAGAATTTCAAGAGGGAGAGCGGACTCTCCCCACCTCAGCCGAACCAGGACATTTGGGAGCGATTCATAATAAACACAATTAATATCCCGCGTGGTGCGGGATCGTGGATGCGCACTGCTGAGGAGTCCCATACTAGG